ACCCTACACAACAGTCATTTCTGCATTTTTTTGGGGGGAAGGTCACCTCCTTGTAAATGTTATAACAGAAAATCTAACTGCTCGTTTTAAATCCATACTTTTACTTTTAGTACTTAAGTACAAAACATATCAGATACTTAAAGACTTTTACTCAAGTAACTTTCCTAAAGAGGACTTTAACTTTTACCAAAGTAATTTTATAGTAAGATAATTGTACTTTCATTCAAGTATCATTTTGTGGTACTTTATACAACACTGCATATACTCACGTTTGGTGTTGTTGGTTTTTTTTCCACAAGATATTAAATTATAATGATAAATGTGTTCAAAAAAGCAAAGTTAATTTATCATTTGTCATTCTTACATCTCCTTTTGTCAGGGTGCAAAATTTCATGTTTGATCCACAAAGATCACATCTGCTTTGATTTTTCACCTAAACCATGTTAAAAGTGGAAATGTGAGAGATAGCTGCTTTGCTTCGATGATAGATGAGCCATGCCAGTCATTAGGCAAATAACTGGCAAATGTGYTAAATGAAAAGGCTTTGTTTACAAGCTGAGCAGTGCTGTTGGAAAGATATTTAATCATAAATGTTTTAAAGTTCAAAATCTTATYATAATTTACATTAAATGTTATAACTTGCTGTTTTGTGAGCAGGTCTCCCTTATTATGAAGACCTGGACTTGGAGATACCAATGGGCTTTGTGGAAGACTACCCCCTAGAGGAGAGACTTCGTACTGCAGGCAGGTCACAAAACCTGCAGAGTAAGAAAACTCCACAGGACATCAGTGCAGTTTCCGGAAACAACGGTAAACTTACTGACATTAAAACTACGTAAAAAAAAATTTAAATGGACACCTCTAACACTGACACTTTGGATGCACTGTCTCTCTGTGGTAGATGATTTGCTCCAGAGGATATCAGGTGTCCTCCAGAGGTTAAATGTTGATCCCAGGAATCTCAGTCAGGAGCAGCTTTACAAGCTGGCACTAATTCTGCAGCTACTACAAGGCCAGGACAAAACAATCCCAACAGGTCCCTTCTTCACGCAAATCTTCAAAAAAATAAATTAATTTCTTGTAAAAAGAAAAATAAAGTTAATAAAGTTTTTGTCTGTAATCATGCTTTGTTGTCTCTCACAGATCCAATTGAGAAAGACCTCCTCACCCTCAAGGAGGTACATTAGTCGTTATTGTTTTCAACAACTATAAAATGGAATCCGGCATGTTTTAAACTCACAAATTCATTCCTCTCTTCTCAGATGCAGCTGTTAAAAAAAGAAAGTGTGTCCAAACCCGAGAGGCCTGATTCTGCTTCGGGTCCTCCTGCTCCTTCCGCCAATTCTATTCAAGATGCACCCCCACTAAAGAGTGCCAGCCCCCCGACGTCTGCCTCTAATCCTCCTCAGTCCGCTCCCGGAGATCCTGGGAAAACCTTTAAGGACCCACTTGCTGAGGGTCCAGGAGCTAAAGAGGAGTATGGGTACATAGTTACCAACCAGAGGTCAGTACTTCTGATTTTTGCAACAAATCTACACTTCCCAAAATGATACTCAGCAAAATATAATAAATTTTAAACATTATGCTTATCAGAGATGTAAAGTAACTAAGTACAAATACTTTGTTACTGTACTTAAGTAGAATTTTTGGGTATCTGTACTTTACTTGAGTACTGGTAATTATTTTTCAGCCTACTTTTTACTTCTTCTCCTTACATTTTCACTCATTTATCTGTACTTTCTACTTCTTACATTTTTAAAAAAGGCAAGAAATAGAAAGTTGTTACTTTTATTTCATTTTTGCTTGTTTTCATCCCAGCTTGTTATTGTAAAAAAATTATATTATCCATAAATTGTGCCTTTTA